TKTCCAGTCGCTGSCTTCATCCCTTAMCCCGGCTATGTTGYAGCTCCTGTGTCATATACAAATCGAATCGAGTTACTGGGGTTCGTCGGCCCTTTCGTTGCCAAATGCACAATAAAAGATGTACCCTTCCAAAAAGCCTAAATGAGTYCTATATTGTTCTATTATACGAGATTGTTGCTCCTTACTTTGYGATTCTATTCAGATGCAATGTTTAACGCTACCATTCATTGGGGCATTAGAAATCGATATAAGACTAATACTCTATCGRGGGAGGTGCACACGACACCAAAATTCAAATAGCCCGTCTTAGGCTCCGTTATGCAGTATGTAGCGTGCTTTATCTGTGTGGCATTATAAGCTATTAAATACTAGAATTAAGAAGGATAGTACCATATAATAACGTACTTAATCACTGACAACAACACYTAATTGGAATTGATGATTTTATTCTTGTGCTTCAGATTGCATACATTTCCTGTGCTTCGATAACAATTCAAGGGGCTTGCAATCTTTTTTTTTTTTTTTTGCATTTTTTTAATTTGGTCACAGAAGAAGCCCCAAAAAGTTCTAATATAACACATCAAGACGTGTTTTAGTGGCTGACCACAATTTATTTACAATAGTTAGRTGTATGCGTAAGTTCATTTGCCATGTCGTTTTTCAAAAGGGTTACTTAGGAAGTAAAAAATTGGAATCACTGCCTGTCTTGCATAGCTCGTTTTCTCTCGGCACTTCTGGCTTTTACAAATTCTTCCCAGAGTTCCTTTGCATCAGCTGCGCCAATTTCACCTTCCATGGCGTTGTCAACTTGTCTAGCAGCTTGTCGGTCATGTAAACTACGACCTGCCTTAAAGAATGCGTCGACTTGGTTGTTGATGAGCACTGCGCTCAAGCAGACGAAGAGTATTACAAGCGCTAGTCTGTTCATGTTGTATTCTGTTGCACCAAACTCTTCAAGATCTACAAGATAACACAACAGCGCAAATCGTAAATATATTTGACAGCACAAGTGCCTTAGGATTAGTTGCATAATCACTTTAAAGATTAAAAATGTATTTCATCAGAAAAGAGGATCACAAACTTTGCACGAATCCACATTAATCCCGATTGATATTGACACTCCTGATTGTTTTTACTTTGTCTTACCGCGAAGAATATAAACTTGTATATTTTATTAATGAAAACGACGTGTAAAAGTAAAATGTCTTTAATGAAAAGATGCCACAATTCGATGTTAAGTAAAAAAATGCAACTTTCTTAAAAGGGTTCAAGTGCTCCGAAATAAATCTGAGAAAAAAGTCCTTTCGCGGCATTGATTTTCAATACGGACAAAGACGCCCTTGCAATGTTTAAATGTTGCCTGAAACATGACTTGTTAAATTATCTTTTATTTTTCTTCATTTTTATTAGTTACTATAATAGTTTTCTTTGATTTACCGAGGAACATCATTCGGCTGACATGTGGAGGCGTTCTGGCTAGAACCAAAAGACGTTAGACTGGCTGTAATGGAACTGGATACAAAATTGTCATTCCTAAGTTTCCATTAAAGTGTATCATAAACCAGAAGCAATGCAGAACAATAACTTTCTAGTCTAGCGCAAATMATTTATCAATTTCTGGACGTYAGCGTCCAAATCTGATTTTTCATTGTTTTGTTTGGTRCAAACCGCGCCTYTTACAAGGGCATGWGAGAGAAGACACTAATATTGATACTTGTGTTTGTTAGATTTTGYCTGTCGATTTAACAAAGTAACTATTTGACGAATCTGATCATCAAGCTYTCGTTCCTGCTCGCGAAACTAAACATTCRGTCGTGAAACTCGTGATACAATAAGACCACACCAAAGCTATGCAATTTTCAGGTAATATTCGAGATTGATATACAAGTAAATATCAGGAAACTCGCAACAATCGTCAGGACTATTTCAAAGTCTAATATAAATAAACGATTATCGTGGGGAAATCTGCTTACGATGAAGTTCGGTGATTATTATTAGTTAATACGAAAGAATTCGTTGAATCAGTATCAGAGACGAGAATTAAGTTAATTAGGAGATAGGAGTTAAAGGTACGTTATGAAATGATCATCTTGAACAGATGATGTAATGAAATAACATTGAAATGTTGACTTCATTTTATGTGTAAAAGCCTTTGAAATAGAAAAATGATCTCATTTTAACCCGAAATTACGCATCAATAGTCACATACAAAGGAATCAAGACGAGGCGCCGTGCTTTTTTGTGAAAAATCCATTGTCTTTAGCACGGCGCCTCGTCTTGATTCCTTTGTATGTGACTATTGATGCGTAATTCGCAAGTCGGCTATTGAGATCCTAAATTGCCATTCTTTGTTGAATGTGACAGCAGTCATTGTTGAACTTGCGGAACAACCTCACTTAGAGTACCTTTTGAAGTCTTATAACCTACGAGTTACGATTGGTTTTTAGCTAAGCGTTATCATCATTCTAGTGGGATTATAAGGATCAGTAAAATGTTTTTAAATCTAGTGACGTTATCAGTTATTCTACTGGGATCCTAGCTAGTTATTTCGCCTTTACCGCGGGCAAGAACTACTTTACCAATAAAGCATCTACGACGATTTCACTCTCTAGTGGACTTTCAAAATACTGATTTATTCTTTTTTTTTAAATCAGTGCATGGATTTTTGTATAGTATTTAAATCGGGMTATTCACTAACTACTGCTAACCTACTTTCTATTAGTGTGACGAAACAGTGATTTGTGGTACTAAAATATATCGCACCTTAAGAGGCAAAATACAATAAATTAAAGCTCAAAAAACGTACGAGGCATCCCTGCAGAGCTGTAATGGTTATCATATAGTTGCTTCCTATTATAGATGACTTACCTCTAGTGTTCACTGCAGTCCGGCAGAGGTTAATGTAAAATACCTTTGGTTACTGCTTTCGTATATATATCGACGCTGATCTCATATTAACGGAAGTTGTTATAGAGACAATATAGTTTGATTGGCAAAAACTACTTATACAGTGACTGCACCTTACAAAGAACTTTCTAACACACGAAAACCTATCTAAAAAGACCTTTTCTAGTTCCGCTACGATGACGTTTAGCCACAAATTGTTAATGATATTGCCGATTGATGTGTTTTTTTATTAAACTTAATCACTGTACTTACYAAAGCTAGGTAGTACAAATATGAACTTTACTTAAGGGTTTTGTGACAGATGACATAGAGCTTTGTCGATGACGGAAATGCATCTTGTAACGACTCAATCAGTTTGGAATAATAGTATCTAGAGTAATACCTCACATACCTTGATTCCTGTCCTTATCTCTTGWACACTTCCCAAAAAATTCTCTTGACTACAAAGATGAAAGAACGATCACTTAGCAAGMGCGCAATATCGGCTTTAGAATATATAGTGTACCATTCAGCACTTTGGTCATAAAATGTTAAAGAGAAAATGACGAAATTAAAAGTGTTTATGTAACACTTATTAATGCGTATGCTTTGATTTCTCCGTGTTTTTTAATAGAGTTTCTAATAAAGTCCCTAGAATTTTGWCAACAAATGGTTTTCTCTTGTTATTTTGATGTAATATATGTCTAGGAAAACTATCAATTATTAAAAATAGTTCAAAGTAAAGTTTAGATTCTCAATTGGCGCAACAGCTGGAGATCAATAGCGRTTCGGTAAGCGCTCTTCCTGTCTYATAGATCTACTAGTGAACGGGCTCAAGTATATAACGAAAACTTTACGAATTTARACCATCTTTTGAATAGAGCAATGAATATTTCATTAATTWGTAAAACAAACTAGTTTCAATAAACGACAATTCAGGAATCAATAAGTCATTGKTTTGGCAAGTATATAAACAGGTGTTAGTGGACTTTTTGTGTATAAAATGGTGTAGTAAGCGTACATCTTATACCGGACATAGTTTGTGAAAAGACTTTACCGAAAAAAACTGCATGTTTAAAAATGTAAAAGCGATGTCAATTAGTTTCGGTAAATTGTTAGCACATGTGAACCACGCGCAAAGGTAATTGAATAACAAGTAATTCAATTCGTAGGTGTATTCCTGCACTTATGCGGCCTTGGAGTATTGTACATATGCGCAATTCCCTTTCGGCTTGTGCATGATATTACATTSCCCACAGGATGTTAAGCCTTTATCAGGCAACTTTGAGACTTTGTGACATTTAATTAAATTGACGGTAGAAAACAAGAGAAAATCGTTTGCAATATGTACATAATGCCAAATTGTAACATGTAGACTACAGATTCCACAACACGTAGTAAATAGGCATGTAATATTTCGAAATCCCCTTCTTTCCTTTCATGCATTTGTTTCATTCATTATCGGCTAAAATAGAATGCATTTTTCACTAAGTCTTCCGGAAAAAAGAGCAATTATTTTTTCTCCACTTAACCGAGTAAGTTTTGCTATTGTTGTTGTGAATCGATTCGTTTCTTTCAAAGAATATTGATTGTCCGCTGATACTGATCAAAGATCCACAAGCGCGGGATTAAAAGAGAGAGAGAGAGAGAGAGAGAGAGAGAGAGAGAGAGAGAGAGAGAGAGAGAGAAAGGGAGAAAAATAGATCGCACATAAGTTAAGATTTAGGTACAAGCAGGTACAACATATAAAGGTTCAGTTTCGTATTTCAATAAAAGTTTGTGTTTTGGTTTTCTCCTGCTGTGTTTTTATAGCCAGTTTTATTGTTAGTGCTTACATCCGACGCTGTCATTTTATTGTTTTCTTGCACGAGACTTTTAAAATGAGATAACATTGTAAACGAGTTTTGAAATGTTTGCACGAGCGATAAGAAGATACGCTGAAAAAACACATATACAAATTGAGTTTCTGGAATAAAGTGAGCGTTTGAAAAGGAATGTTAAGGGGAATTGATGCCAAGCACGCTGGGTGGCTTATCCTGTTCAGTTTATTCCGTTAAGGCCGAAGGGCTCAAGATCCTGTTTGCCGGATTCAATAAACTTAGAAACATTGCCAACATCTATAAATATGTTGTTCGCGCCGTTTTATTACAAGGCTTACACAACCTATCATTATTGTCAGGCCCTCGGGCAGCACATTACTGTTGGTCAGCGGAAACAAATGACAATTGAGATATACCGATAGGAAATCTCTTTTTTGTACAAAAAATATTTTGGATATTCATATTCTTCATCGACTAATAGCAAATATACCATCAAAGTAGTGTTCAGGTGAAAGAAAATAGTTTTCAGTTAAGGAGAAACTGTTTTAGTTCATCTATTATTGTGGGATAACATTACGTCTCTTTTTACAACCTAAATCATATCACTAAACTTATATGTCAGTCTTTTTTGTGTTTTGCGCAGACGATCTGTCATCCTTGTCTCCGCTTTAAAGTCATATTCTTAGCAATTTTTGTCTTTACTTTTTATAAAGAGTTCCTTTTTGAAATTTTTAAAGAATTCTAGCTCACAAACCGCGAGCTGCTGTCTTAAATTGACTTTGGACTTGCTTATCAGGTATGTATCAAGTAGGTTAATAATGCTTACGTAACAATTGGGAAAACCTTAACATCAGTTAACATCAAAAAAATATCAGTAATGTAAGACACGAAAAAAAGACAAAATAAGGATCCCAAAATAAATAAGCAACAACGCAAAACGAGAAGATAAAAGAAGARAGATTGTTGAAATGAATTGAGAGAGAAATGATTTTGAGTTTTATTTGCCTAAAGTAGACATCGTATGCAGTATTATTACAAAAACATCTATCAGCTTTGAAACTACATGACTTTTCAAATTTAGCATTTGTGTGGTCTAGTAGGCAGAAAGTCTAAGTAGTTGCTTTATCGGTCAGCGCGGAAGCGGTCAGGTTGAATGGCTGTATACATCAATGGTGCGTATAATTCTGCTTTTCTATGGAAATGCCACTACAACATGGGGGCGTGCCAAGGCTTTGCAGGAGAGCTTGTCTTTTTTTAGTTGACAAGCGAAAACAAACTGAGACAGTTAGTGTTCAGTCAGATAGAGGCACTCTATCCGATGCAAAGGGGACCCTTATTGCGGATTAAACGAAGCAAGAATAATGTTGCAAACATTAAAAAATTCGTTAGAAAATGGTATACACGTGTCGGTCATGAGTTCACAATATTGACTGGATGAACATTTTTGAAGATGACAGCATTTGATATCTATTCTTTACTGACCTACATTCAGTCAAAGCCATGGTGAGGGGCGAGGCGAGTCACAGGTAGTAACTGCAGGAAACGGAAGAACGGAATTATTCATAGGCGGGTCAAACATTTTGGCAAGGGGGGAATCAACGGCGTAAATCTTTGACGAGCAGTTACTAGAAGGTTTTGTCAGTAATTGAAGAGCCTTCTTGTTCGGCCGTGCACAGGGAGCTTTGCAATTTATTTATACCATTCCTAGACAAGTCTCCCAATGGAGGAGACGCGCTAAATGTTGGCTCGGAATAATCGTGTSTTTGAYGAATTCATAGATAAGTTATATCTCGTGTATGGTGAACTATGGCCGTACATAGTACGCTACCCCTACATCATATCAAATACCGTTTRATATTGTAGCTTTCAAGCACTATGAAGGTCAGACGTTTAGGCGTCTATGATGATTCACAATGGGCCGGACTGGCTGTCTTTCACAGTCAAATGAAAGAGAAAAAATGTTCTTGAAGGACCCTGGAAACGAACAAAATCAAATCATCATTACAGACTGAAAATTGCGACTTACAGCCAAACCTACTGAAGCGTTCCTATCAAGGTTGGAAGGCTCGATTTATTATTCCAAATTTGGTTCCAAATTTATATTTAAACGTGCAAAAACAAAACCGACAATGTAAATTTCAAATCTGACGTCGATTTGAACCTCGATTCCTGATTGGATTATTCCAATAATAAAACGAAGTGCATGTTGGGTAAAGCGCGTTCACTCGTTCGCGGCAGTGCATTCCAAAAGTTGTTTCACGATGTCGACGATACAAGGATGGTTTCTGATGCTTCCAAACCTCTATGTCCTCCAGAATATCATATGTCAAAACAACAGGCTGCTTACCGCTATGTCCTAACGGATTGAAAGAGTCATACGATAATGTTCGATGACGTTTGTTACGCACCGAAAAGTTACCTGAAGCCGTTCAGAAACTTCCGTTTTTGTGAGTCCGCCGTTAAATAATTGTATAATATGTTGTCTTTCAGCAATCGATAAAGGTTTTCCTGGKGTGTACGGCCTCTGAAGACTATTCACCGCCGCCATTTTTTTTTGAAATATGCAACGTACTGTTTATTTTTGGAATAATCCAATCAGGAATCGAGGTTCAAATCGACGTCAGATTTGAAATTTACATTGTCGGTTTTGTTTTTGCACGTTTAAATATAAATTTGGAACCAAATTTGGAATAATAAATCGAGCCTTCCAACCTCGATAGGAACGCTTCAGTAGGTTTGGCTGTAATCAATCGTTGAAGAACGTCTTTCCAGTTATTTTGATATTTGTCAAAATCAAAAACTAAAACCCCTGGCCTCGTGAAATGAAATAAGTCATGGAATTTATCATTTTCAAAATAGACGTTTTCAGTAATATAAAAGAAATACAAAATCACTGGCGCTCGGCACAAAATCTTAACTTACCCTCCCCATCCACCATGTTTGACTTTGTTACTTATCACGTGATTTCAACAGATTTGTCCGCCATCTTGCATGAGTGCTTCCTGTTGGAGAGATCTACACAGTAAAGTSGAATACTTGTGCTTAACGCCATGATCCTGTTAGAACTAAACAACAAAATCATTGAAGAGGTACTGACGGCACGTTTTGCAGGGTAAGTTTTAAATATTTTTTCTAAAACATTAAGATTTAGGATAGTTCGAGGCTTCATTTCCTGGGAACACACCTCTGTGAGCTCGTTGCTGAGGCAGTTTATTAAGCATAGTTTTTACTAGTTTCGGCTTTTATTACCTAATTACTTTATGGAACTGATGCTGTTATTGTATTTCTCTTATTTGGCAGTGGTAAATTCGAATCAGTGGACATAACAGTTGCAGGTTTGTGCAGAAGGGACTTTGTCATTCTTTAAGCTTATAGAAACATTTCAATTCTTCTTAAATCTGATTTCAGTGRCTTGTTCTCCTGAGAATATAGCATTATATGGCATATTTGAATATAATTACAMGTAACCAATATTTAAATGATACCAATATATCTTCCATGATTTTCCTTGTTCTGTAGACTTTGATGGTGTTCAGTTTCACCTTTCAAATCCCAATGGAGAAAAATCAAAACTTATGGTAAGAAGGAATGAACTTTAAAAACAAGTATCAGTTCTGTGCTTTATTTGCAATTAGTTTATTATYAATAATATTATTGATAATAGGTCAGTATAACTATGAAGTTCTTCAAGGACCTTCAAAAACATGGAGCAGATGAAGTGAGTGGTATAATAAGTTTTGATTAATTTTTTTCTAAAAATAAATTGGATGGTCCTATTTTGAACTGTTTAATTATTTGACAGTTGTCTTAGTATAACAAAGAAATAGTGCAAAGATAAACATGCCGCTACACATGCTGGCATTCATGTGTAATCCATTCAAATACGAACACTGACACCTAATATCTATTCTTGATGTTACTTTATAGTTGCTGAAAAAGATATATGGAGATTACATGACTGATCCAGAACCAGGTAAAAACACTTGAATACTAGTGGTCATAAATTGAAGCTTTATTGAAGTCTTCTGCAAGTATGTGTGTTTACAAGCATTGACAATGATGAACAATGCCTCTATTGAATGTTATTGCTTCCAGGATATTTTATAACTTTACATTCTTATCACAGGCAATGCTAAGATGTTATTAGTTTATCGTTTTGATGTATTTTTCTAGGATATGATGTGTCACTCCTGTTTGACCTTGAAAACTTGCCTGGTGATAGTGAAAAAGGTTAGAAAAACTTAGTTGATATCCTGACTTTGTGGTAAACACAAWAATACAAGTCAGTTATGCAGAAATTGAATAAAGTTGTTTGAATTGTAAATTCACAGAGGAGCTGATCAAAAAAGTGTCTCTCATGAAGCGGAACTGTTTTGCTTCTGTGTTTGAGAAGTATTTTGATTATCAAGCTCAAGGGTCTGGTGGAGAACAACATGCTGTTATAAACTACAGAGATGATGAAACTATGTAAGTTATTATTCCAGCTTTTATAATTATATCTTATTACTAGCAAACCGAAAAACCATCACCAATTTTGAGTATTCATCGTTAGAGCATGAAGTATAAAGACAACAGTTTACATCACTTTTATCTGTAAATTTACAAATTGTTTTTGTACTTTTGTTAGGTATGTCCAGGCAACAGAAGATCGTGTAACTGTTGTCTTCAGTACTGTTTTTAAAGATGATGATGATGTCATTATTGGAAAAGTATTTTTACAGGTAATTTATCATCCTTGTAATGTGTTGTTTTGACCAATATTGTGTATTTTAGAGTACATTTCTATGTAAATTATAGTATATAAGTATATTTCTATGTAAATTAATGGCTCAAGAAAGTTTTTGTATGTTCAGGAATTTAAAGAGGGTCGCCGTGCTAGTCAGACAGCACCACAAGTTCTGTTTAGTCATAAAGAACCCCCACGTGAACTTGTAGGGACTGACGCTAAAACAGGAGACAATATTGCATATGTTACATTTGGTATGTATCTGACATGGCTAGCACACTATTCAAAGAGCATGATTGTATGCAAGTGTTATTCTATTTGTTGTGATTGTACAATTTACTGTGATTTGAATTGTTCTTAGTTCTTGAACCAAGGCACACTAACCCAAAAGCAAGGGACAACACCATAAACTTGATACATACATTCAGAAACTATCTACATTACCACATCAAGTGTTCTAAGGTAAGTGGGCTGACTGTAATTAAATATTTCTAGACAGGAATGATGAAAATGGTCTTGAGTATTGATATTGCCGCAATAGTGATGTTTATCAATGCATTACTATGTTCCCAGTATATGTTATRCATTGCTGTGGTCTTAGAAATAGTAACTTAGATGAATTTGTGTGATTGAAGAAAGTGGTAAAWCATTATGCTAACCAGTATCTGTGAACTGTTGATGAGACTATTTTTGTTTTGTTGAAGGCCTACCTTCATTCACGAATGAGAGCAAGAACATCTGAGTTTATCAAAGTTTTGAACAGAGCAAAACCAGAAAGAGTTACAGAGAAAAAGACTATCAAGTGAGTAGGATTAATATGCTTATGATGAAGAACTTTTAGTTAAACTACTTCTGTCTGCAGGTTTCTCTGTTTGCCGTATTGTGTTTTACTCCATTTTTAATAGCAAGAGAGTGTGCTATATATTAGTTAAAGTTGATCAAAATATAACAAAAACTTTATATTAGATAATTAGATTACAATATTGTGTTTTATTATTATTACCGGTAATTAGTGAGTTAAATAAGTTTTGTAAACATTAATTATACAAATTTTCATTATGTCTCAACTATCTAATCAATTAATGCCATCATTTCAATATGTTCTTTCAATTTATTTCATGTCTRTCATTTCAGGGGAAAGACATTTGTTCGTCAGTAGCTGCTGTAAAATCACAATCCTGCAATCTATCAATGATTTTTTTAGAGTATATCAAGTAAAATTGTTAGAAATTCAAGGCTGATGTTTGATTCCTTGTTAAAATGTACTCATTTTKATTTGAAGCTTTTCAACCAGAGAGCATTAACTTGTTAGATTCAATATTTTAGGAGATTTACAAGAAAAATGTGTAAATGGCAACTAATATTACTTAAGTCATCTTGATGAGTATATTTTAAATATTATTGAACATAGACTTGTTATAAAATAGTAATTAAAAAACTGCAACAAAAAACGACAACTAAAGAATGACACAAGTCAAATTGTAAGTAACTAAATTACTGAATTTCTAGTAAAAAGCCATTCAAAAAAATTGTTGGCATTTTTTTCTTTTATATGCAGTGTATTTGTGGTCTATAGTATTGTATTTGTGGTCTATAGTATTGTATTTGTGGTCTATATAGTATTATCACCTTTGAAATTTGTATTACTCTGATATTATTATCTCTTTTCAGTATGTCTTTGCATAATAATCTATGAATTGACACGAGCAAATAAAAATTATTTTTCTGTGTTGTGTTGTCCAATATTGCTAGGGCTTTACTTTAATGTTGAAAAAAGAAGGGGTGGGTAATGTTGGTGTTTCTGTGTTCGTTGGGATTCCTCTTTTTTAGAGACGAGGTGGCATGGTGCATAGGTCAAAGCAGTTCATTTCGTCCAGAAAACATTGAAAACATAGAGCTCTAGAAAAAGAATGAAATTCAGAAGCACGCGCGGCCTGGTCAACGATGTGACGTTTCAAGAAGGAGTATTCATGGGTTATGCTAGTGATGGTGGTTTGCTCATGCCAGAATCTCTTCCTAAAATTGGYCTCCAACAGATGGAATCGTGGAAGGACCTTTCGTACGTGGATCTTGCAGTCGAAATTTTATCTTTATTCATATCAGAGAGCGAAATCACGAAGACACAACTTCGAGGTAATACTCRACAGTTGCTGTAAGTTAATAGACTGATTTGTTGAAGTCATATTAGTCGTCAGTGTGAGTGACGAGTGACGATTTTCACGCCTCAATGAATTTGCTCGTCATAACTGGCCGGACGTGAAAATTCACGATATTCTATAAAACTTGTGTTCAGTGTTTAAAGCATTGAAGTTCGGTGTCAAGGAACATTATATATCATTATTCAGGAGTCAAACAAAACTCAGGTCCTCAGCAGCCAGGGGGTGTACTASCCTCCTTCAATGGCTACTCCAACAGAAACGGACTTTCTTCTTTTCTTGGTCTTCCTGTGTTCATAATCTTGACCGAAAAGAACTGACTGTTAAGACAGCACGAGTAAGAGGAGTAGGCAACTCCTGCTTTTCCTTCCTCCCTAATCCCTCCCCATCCGGCAGCTTTTTTTGCCTTAACACAGGAATCCCACAGAGTACAGTTGCCTTCAAAGGAGGTTAGRGGTGTACAGTTTTTAAATGCAAATAACCCATTGTGAATGAAGGAGGGTGAAGTGGGTATCTGGGAAGGTCATATTTCCAATTATTATTTTTTTCATATTTGAATTCCCAGCTCATTCATATTTTTCATTTCAAAGGTATTGTTATCAATGCATATGGTAGTGACTTTGAATGTCCAGTGGCAGACTTTCCTGGAAGTCTTCATATACTAGAACTCTTCCATGGCAAGACAAAAGCTTTCAAAGACGTTGCCTTGGCTCTAACTGCTCAATTTCTGGACTTCTTTCTTGAAAAAGAAAGAAAACACATAACTCTTCTTGTAGTTACGTCAGGGGACACAGGAAGTGCAGCAATAGAAAGTGTTAGAAAATCCCAAAACATAGACATTATTGTTCTCTTCCCAAAAGGATACTGCACTAAAGTCCAAGAACTTCAAATGACAACTGTAATGGATAACAATGTCCATGTCTTTAATGTTGAGGGTTCAAGTGATGATGCTGATGTACCTATAAAAGCATGTTTGATTGATAAAGAATTTGCTGGAAAGTATAATCTAGGAAGTGTTAATTCTGTTAACATCTCAAGGRTTTTAGCACAAGTTGTTTATTACTTTTATGCCTATTTCAAAGTCTGTAAGGAAGTTGGGAAAACAGTGAGGATAGTAGTACCAACAGGAGCTATGGGCAATGTTACAGGTAACAGCACTCTTACACAGTCATRATCCACTGGAAGTCTCCATTTTTTCAYATTTCTTTTAATCAAATTAATTTTCTCTCACTGTAGCTGGTTGCATTGCAAGCAAGATGGGACTCCCAATTTTACTTCATTCTGTTGTGAATGAAAATAACTGTGTATTCAAGAGCCTCACAAGTGGTATATTTGCTGGAAGCACAGCCACCACAAAAACCTGGTCACCGGCAATGGATATACAGGTATTG